GTAATGTGAGGGAATTTATTCGCACAATCCAACGTTTTCCACTTCAACGCAATCCTCCTTCGGTTTCCGATGAGGCCAAGTCACGAATCCCTCTCAACTAACTTTTTCATTCGAGGCGAAAAGTCGCGTAACACTTTTGTGATCGTTCTGTCCCATCCATGCTTGATCTGATCCAACAACCTCACTCTGCACATTCTTGGTTTTGGGTCGAAAATATGTCATTTATAAACCTCACTTGTTGAGCAGGGGAAAACCACAAGGAAAACTTCGTTTCCATCAGTTTTTGATGCTACAGACAAACGCAAACGGTCCTCTCTGCCAAAATCTTACCGTTTCATCCCTTGCGAGCTCCGATCCTCAACTATTCGGAGAAACGCAGCCAGCCGACACGGACATCAGACATGCAGACCGAAACCGAAGTGGGCTTATATTTTGACCAAATGAACCATATTCGTCGACTCCCCTTGACCTGATGCCTGAACAAATAAATTGCCTAATTTCAGCCTCATTTTGTAAAGGGCCAATGTACACTTTTGCAGAGCCACAAAAACCTTGGAGACTGTATCAATAATTTCCTGTTGGCTCTAGACTGTCATGGTCTCTTCACCAAATGGAAGAACAATTTCGTCAAATTCGCGTTCACAATCAAAAGGCATACCGTTGCTTCTGCGCTTGACTGCATGACTATAAAGGTGGGATACATGATGATACAAGCACACTGATATGATGCAATCAATTGTTGATGCTAAATGCGATTGACGAGGTATCGTTCCAGAAGCATTGCATATGTTCAGACTATGAATGAGCGAGTGGATCATTTCGTTGGGACTAGGTTTTCTGACAACGATGTGCTGGATTTCTTAGTTAATGGAGTCTTTCATCGTCGAGGCGGAGCTGTTGCAGGTTGACTGGCTGGAAGCAAATTCGGAACTTAAGTGAATTATTTATGAGGATGCTCTATTCTTTAAAGGTGACATTTTCTGCATGCGTCTTGGCTACCTCCAATCTGTGAGCATTTTCAGCGACATCTATGCCCAAATGAAGGTTTTTCTTTTAGTCACACTTGAGTATCGGATATGAGTGGGTATATTTCTGGAATGAGCACACATCTTTTCCTTAATTGGTGCTTGGCGGGCATCTTAAAATGTCGTTTTACTTACTTTCTGTCGGAAAGATGACAAAAGTCCTCTGCTCGCCTACACCAGTCGTCGAGCAGACAATGTCTCCTCCAAAAGCGGTTCAGAGTTTGGGCCCAACTCACCGGTCAACTGTCTGCTTCCAGCCCAATCCACCACACCGAGAGGTCTTCAACCGGTCCTGCAATCCAGTCTGGCTGTGTCGTTGGTCAACACACAGTCGGCGACTACAGTCTCCCAAATAGACCCCAGGACAGAATCGGAGCCGGCTGTAGCCTACATGGAGATGACACCTTTCAACGGTCGCCTTCCCTGCGGACCGCAGCACAAGCCGTCACTAGAAGAGCCGAAAAACGGGAGTTCAGAACACCCGTTTTCAGACCTAGTGGGACTGAGCCATGCTGGAGCCTTGAAGGAGGATCACGTCAGAAAAAGAGAAATTAACTCTATAAATCTGGTCAGGTGGGCAGTAACACGTTATTTCTTCAAGGTGTAGAAGATGTACATCTGTTCACATTAACTAAAATAAGGTCTTCTTAAGAGTTTGGGATTTTGTAACTTCTCGATTGAAAGCGATTTCCTGAGACCATTCATACCATAAAATTTTAATAGGATTTCTTTTATTAAAATAAATATATCGAATTACGAGCTAAGTAAATTGAGGCTGGAAAGCGAGAGTTTAGGAGCAGGATACTCATGAGTTAGAGTTTACAAATTTTGTAAAAGTCTATTCTAACACCACTTCTCCTAATCCAGCCCGGCATGTTGTTCATAACTATTCATGCCTTGCTGTCACAAAATTATTCTTCTGAAAAGTATAGAAATGCTCTCATGTTACCCAAATGAATAAATGAAAAACCACTACATAGGTGGACAAAGAAAAGATATCTAATAATGGTTTTGCCATAAATAGGAAAAATAAAAGTGCTGCATAAAATGAATGAATTATGTATACGGGTGGTTTAGACCTGGTAATGGGAATACAGGATTGGTTAGCAATTTTTCCGTCAAATATAATTCGGGAACACAATACGCGTTTTTTTAGTGCATATGTAAAGTTGTAATCGTGAATTTTCGATAACATCCATTTCAAATGATCCTGATTCTGGATATCAAGACTCTCCGACCTAACTTTTGTATTTCGAGATCTGTAAATGGTATTTCTGAGCATTTATCATTTTCGATTTTCTAAACCCCCTACAAAGTAGTTGGGGGGGGGGGGCTGCGATATCATATCCCGAAATCATCATGGTAATCGAGTACGGTTTGTAGCAT